AGGAGAAAGAATCCCGGCACAAGTTTCGAGGAGCGAAAGAAGAAAAGGCTGTTGTGAATGTGTTGTGTCTCGTTTGTTTCGATTTTCGGGCTTTCTCACCTTTGCGAAAAAAAACAGGGTTTCGGACAAGGCTCATTATTTTTAATTTTCAGTAATATTTGATATTCTTTACATCCAGTTATAGAAGTATTATTATTTTTAGTTATTTTATAATTATTTAAAATATCCATTAAGTGTATTTGGATTTCTTCTACATTATTATAATTGTTATTAATTATTTCATTATTTATATTTTCCATATTATTTTTGATTTTAGTCCAATTATAAATAAATCTGGAGAAAGGATCAGAGAACTTTTTAGGTTGATAGTTTAGGTCTATTTTAGCAGAAATAATTTTATGTTGAGTATATACATTGATATCTATACATTCCACCATGTTGTTTATGTTAGCTATAATATGATCTGGTCTAGATTTAGCATAGACCTTATTACCATTATATTGTGAGAAGGAAGATTGGATAATTCTAGGTGTAAAATCGTGTAATCTGTTAGTTTCTATCCAATTTATAAGTTTTTTGTCTTTAGGAGTTAATCTACTGAATTTAGTATGTTCCATAGTAGTCATGTTAGTATCACCCATTATGTATAGTAATTCATTGTGAATGATACAGTATTGCAGTAGTTGTGTTAACTTGTCAAAAATTTCAAAAAATATATTATCCATATCTTGTCTTCCATACCAGTTGACTATATTAATTATTTTGTTATTTAGTTCTAGTTTAACATTAGTAAGTCTTCCTGGAATTATATTTTCAAAATTAAGAATGGTACATTTGAGGCTCTTTTTAATGAGTGTTATAATACCTCCATAATGATCTCCATTTGTCTTGAAGCTGTTGAATATTAAAAAGTCTTTAAATACGTTTGAGGCTAGTTTAAGTTGTTGTTGGTTTGAATTATCCCAATGTGTTTCTTGGATATTGATTATGTTTAAATTATTTCTATCTATTGAATTGAGTAAACATGCTTGTTTCGATAGATTAAAACAAGACAAGTTGGCTGAGGCTATTTTAATAAAATTCATTTAAAAATTTAAGTTTTGATTGGTTGGAAATAGCAAATTTGTAGACTGATTATTTGAATTTTTTGGTTGTAATTGATTTAAAATTTCTTTTAAATAGTCTTCTTGCTTTTTCTGAGCAGATTGGTTTTCTGTGGTAAATTCTGTAAATTTAGTTTCTAAAGTATTAAATCTATTATAGAAACCTTCTAATTCCACTCTTGCAACCGCATTATTTTCAATATTAGTAATTTTAGATTCTGATTGTGATTGTCTATTTTCTAATATATCAATTCTTTTAGTTAATTTGTTTAGACTATCTTTAAGGATTTCAATTTCTTCATTACAAGTGGAATTTTCAGCTTTAACTTCTTTAACCTCAACCTCTAAATTTTTGAGATATATTTTCATTGATTGTTGTTTGTAATGTTTGTAAGACAAGTTGGTAAATGTATATTTGCCAATAAATATTTCTTTAGTGCAGTTTTCAACTTTGAATTCACTTTTAACAATTTGTGCAAACATTAATCTTTTGTCATTACTGATGGTAACTACTGCTTTGGTTTTCCATTGTTCCTCAATTGCTTTTTCTATTTCGTCATGTCTAATATTAATATCTTGACCTAAAGTAAATTTGAAATTAACTGTTTTAATTAAATCTCTTGATAATTTTAAATTTTGAGAAATGTTTTCATCAATTTCATTTTGACAATAAATACTCCAATAGTTACTACCTGGTACTATGTTCATTGAAATAATTTTGTTGTTGGTGTTATTATCCTCATCATTCATATTGTTATTATTAGAATTTGTTATTGGTGAATGAATATTATTCCAAATTTTTTCTAAATTTTCATTATTAATTTCCAAATTAATTTTATATTTATAATCAGTATAAATAGTTTGGTGACAAATTGCTAAATTTGAATTAATGTTAATACACGCTTCTGCTAATAAGTGTGTTTTGAAGTATATGATAGCTATTTTAAGTTTGTCATCCCATTTCATACCATGAACATTGCTTGTCTCAAATCTAAGGAATTTGGCAAGACTTGGAATAGTAGGTTCCGCAGTACAGTTACAGACAATAATTCTATTCTTCTTTTGATAAGCATTAAATTTACTATGAGTTGAATATGAATCTTTAGTATTATTGTTGTTACTAGAAGTATTATTAGAATTGTTATTAGAATTGTTATTAGAATTGTTATTAGAGTTTGAACTATTATTAATATTATTATTAGAATTCCTCTTGTTTTTTCTTCTTGAATTATTACTATTATTGTTATTATTATTATTATTATTATTGTTATTATTATTATTATTATTATTATTACTATTATTATTAGTATTGTTGTTATTATTCTGTGAGTTGATTATGCTCCTCATCTTGTTTGAATATTTTTTTGTTCCCGAACATTAAAAAAAAAAATGAGTTCATCCCAAACACCATCATCACAACAAGGAGGTGACTCATCCAATCCACCTTCAAGTAGCAGCAGCAGTGGTATCAATCAATACAACACTTCTCAAGCTACAGGAGGTTCCTCGTCATCTTATTATGGTCGGGGTAGTGGTAGTAGCGGTGGTGGTGGAAATACTTCAGCCTCTTCTCATCATTCATATAATAATAATTATAATTATTATTCTAGGTCTTCCGGTGGTAGTAGTAGTGGAGGTTATAATTATAATCGCTCTGGAAATTATTACAATAATAGTGGACATTATTCACAAAGTCAACAACCTTCTTCGACATCATCATCGTCATCGACGAGTGGTAATACCAACCCAAATTCTGCAAATCCACAACCACCTCCACCTACAAGTGGTAGTGATAATTCTACAATGTCTACATCGGCAACAAATGTGACTGCCGCAACAGGAGCCTCTTCATCATCTATGAGTC